CCGTAGCTAAAGAACAAGTCGAGAAATGGATATCCGATGGGGTAATCGAAATCAATTACCAACAAACGCCAGTTAACTTAGCAGTATTGGCAGTTGACCAACACAACTCTGACGGAACATTCAAGAAAGTCAGAGTATGTCTAGATATGAGCCCAATAAATATGTTATTGCCGACTCATAGTTTTCATCTCCCTCGCATAAACGAGTTACTGAGACGAATAGAAGGTGCTACGGTGTTTACATCCATAGACCTAACACAGGGGTATCATCAAATACAAATTTATGAACCCCATCGTAAGTACTTTAGTTTTACCTGGAAAGGTAAACAATACAGGTTCAGAGGTGCACCTTTCGGGTTGCACTCCTTACCAGCATTCTCCCAACAAGTAATGGAGGAAATGTTTTCAGACATGCCTAACGTGCAACTCTATATAGATGACATAGTCATCTTTTCTAAGACTACAGGCAAACACGCCGCATTAGTCAGACGAGTCTTTAAGAGACTCAATGAGCAAAACTTTAAGATTAACGAGAAGAAATGCCACTTCGTAATGAACGAAATACAGCTCTTAGGCTACCATATATCTGGGGAAGGTATTAAGATCGACCCCGGTAAGGTAGAACATTTGTTAGATTGGCGAACACCAACTACAGGAAGAGATGTGAACAGCATGTGTGGGTTTGTAAACTTCATTTCAGATGGAGTACCACACTTGGCCGATTATCTTAAACCCTTTGGACACTTAAGATGTCATAAAGGCAAACTAGGAGACTTGTGGACTAAAAATTGTGATGACGCATTTAAAGCGCTCAAGCACGCAGTCCAACAAGCCCCTGTTGTACAAGGACCAGTCGATGGCGTGCCTTTTGAAATAGCAACGGATGCATCAGACTTAGCACTCGGGGGTGTACTATACCAGGCTAAAGATAATAAACCTAGGTATATACAATTCTTTAGCCGAGCAATGAATGCATCACAGTTGAATTATCCAACTGTGAAGCAAGAGCTACAAGCCATAGTAGCAGCTCTAACACACTTCCGCGATTACTTATACGGAACAGCTTTTACGCTGATGTGTGATCAGGAGTCCCTTCAATATATGAAGGAGATGAAGCCAGGCTCTCAATTGTTGAGCCGATGGCATGATACGATTTCAAAGTTTCATTTTGATATCAAACATCTACCAGGGATACATAACCATTTACGAGATATGTTATCACACTTCGTACCGGACTTTAATAAATCCGTACGTGAGCTACTAGCCACTGATTGGAAATGTAATCCCAGGTGGTTTGAACTGGTTCAAAAGATATTTGGGCCACATACAGTTGACATGTTTGCTGCACATCATAATGCACAACTTGAGAAGTACAGGACTTTAAATCATTCTTTAGGAGATGCCTTTCAACTAAACCTCTCCAAACATAATGCGTGGGCTAATCCACCATGGCAGTTAATTGCCCAATTACTAAATTATGTTCATATACACAAAGATACCATCACGTTGTGTTGCCCATTACGGAGTAAAGGTCCATGGCTCAATACATTAATAAGCATGATACAATGCGAGCCAATATATTTAGGTAGGGAAGTAGATACTTTCCTATATCAGGGTACCCGAGCCGTCCAGAAGACGCCCTGGAGACATACTATTATATGTCGTATAGGTCCCATTGGAACAACCAAATGGACCCCTTCTGAGACCTTCCTTAACAAGGTCAAAGAATCAGAGATTCCACTCTCTACTAAATAGAACGTTAAGCAGTTCAAAGGCAACACAGCACTTGAAGTCTGTGCACAAGAAATACAATCTACTAATGACACTACAGTTAAGAAGCGTCAGTCTCTAGCTAGGACTCTGTTCAATATCATAAAGTCCAAGCCCGAAGTCTTTCAAACCCTATTTTTAAAGGGATTAATGAAAGATAATCCCGAAGCACATACGAATATAATGCGACTGTTAAATAAGTCAGGTGTATCAAACGCACACGAGCGCACTCATGACACGCATGCGAAAGAAGGACAGGAGTCTGTAAACACTACAGACTTAGAGACCACTCAAGTGGATTCTCAACACCCTACCTTTATTCTGGAGGAGCAGAATGATGAAAACATTCTTGCTTGGCTGACGCAAAACCATAAGCTGAAGCACCAAAACGTAGTAGACGCACTTAAAGATGTTAAGCGAAAGGGATCGTGCACCCTAAGCTGGCAACTTTAGTTGACAGAGTATATCAGTCATGTACAGACTGTGATCTCAACCAGATTAAGCGCTGTGGGTTCGCACCGCTTAAGAGTGTGACTGAAGATAGCGCAGGGTCATCATTGATCTGGTTGACCTGCCCACGTTCGAACACACAGGCGACCGTTACGTATGCCACTTCTTTGATGTGGCGTCACGGTTTAACTTGCACTATCCATTAAAGAATAAGAATACGCAGACCGTGGCATAATTATGTTGCCAAGTCTTTGCTGACCACGGGTGGCCAGGTATAATGCGCACTGATAACGGTAGCGAGTTCTGCAATGACGTAATGGAATCGTTAGTACTCGTATCAGGCATGTGCCATAAAAGGGGTGTACCATATAAACCGCAAACACAAGGCGCTAATGAAACACGCCACAGAAGACTTAAGTTCTCCTTACGTACTGCATTAACGGATGATGCAGATGATTGGCCGTACCACCTTAAGTGGGTACAAACACAGATGAACGAGTGTGCTGATCCGGTTACAGGAACAACACCCGCTCACTATTTTCGTGGCAGATATAGTGAGTTACAAATCCCTTTTAACAAGGACGAACCTGATCACCATGAGTTACCATGGTTAGAGAAGGTACAACGCATACACAACGTTGTATATCCTTGCTTGCGAGAGACACGTAATGTGGCCTTATTAAAAAGGCAAAATAGATGGAATGTGTGCTACCAAAAAGATAGCAGAATATCAAGTTGGAGACAGAGTTAACATCCGTCAACGTAATTCCGATGCTACTGTACTAACATCGAAATGGATAGGACTATACATAATCTCTGTAGCCGATACTAAAAGTGGAACCTATGAGGTTAATAACCCCAACGGTTCTAGTGCTTTAAATATAGGCACTAGTCGGATTCCGACTACTGTAATAGCCGGGCCTCCACATTAGACTGTATGTTATCAACGTACTCTTAAGCAGTACGAAAATTATAAACGTACTCTTAATAGTACGAGGAACTTAAGTTTCCTGAATGGGTTTTAATGGTTTTATTAATTAATACCTTTTCCATTTTACATATCAGATATTTGGATGAGGCCATTAAAAGGCCCCAGTAAAATACCAAACATAAGAGTTGGTCTAGTTCTATTAATAGAGCTTTATTTACTTTCCAACTTTATTTATATCTGAATACTTCGGTAGCGAGATGGCTCAACCGAATATAGGTTTCTAGGGACTATTAAAGTTACCTAGTTTATACTCCGATCAGCCAACCAGATGTGCCAGTCTGATGAAGGCTAAGTCGGTAATTCTTGATAAGTAGCAAGTTATTGGTCAATGCAATAACTATGGACATCAAGAGTATTTTTTTCTTTCTTTCTAAAGATAGGATTTTATGAGTTTCTTGGATTCGCCCCAATGAAACATACCATAGTTTCTATTAGAGCGACAACGAAACACTAAATAAAATCCCTTCGGCGAAAACAGTACTGAGAAGATTATATATAGGCAATGTCTCAGCCTCACAATCCCTCAGAGTATTGCTGTTTTTACGAGGCATACCTAACTTTACTAAAAGACTAATTTCGTTTATTTACTTCGAATTTAATAATACTTAGACTTAACCTAAGCGTTTAATTACTCTAAGGCGTTAATATCGCCTTGATAGACCGAATCGTACACTATATACTAACGTTTGATAGTGACTACATAATGTTGGGGTGGGATTCTATAATTCTCGACACTAAATGGAGATCCGGAATCGCAAATATATTCTTTCGCCGAAACTGTAAGGCACAGAATGTTAGCGATGTAATAATAAACTTATCCGAGTGTGATGCAGAGAAAACTAAGATTAAAGACATGCAGCTTCAATTTTTAAAAGCAGTTTTAATCTATGGTTTTAATGCATGCATATTACTATGTGCACAACTATTGAGAAGTGATTATAGAAGTAACACGGGTATGACGACTGTATCGTTTTGTTCTTGGTTGACACACAAGTCTTCATCAATTAAAACATATCTCGCACTAAAATCGGAAGATACGTACGTTTATACGAACTGGGCAACTGATAATTGGGAGATACTTAATACTGAAGCAATCTATGCAAAACTGATATATTTTTTCCCAACCAGTTTATGCTTGGTGTAAACATGTTATTGAACTGAATGACGTAACTCGTTATTTGCCTGTCAATCAATATGGAATACCACAATGGCCAATTTCAGGTTATGGGATACAATCACTTTATAGCATTCTATTGAATTTTTCTGATAGTATAATCAATAATTATCGGTATAATATCTTTACAAAATTATCACCACAAGCACAAAGAGATTGGGCAATGGGTGCCTACAATTTACGATTTCCTCCTTGGGAACCTGTTTGGAACAAACGGTTTCCGCTCGAGCCTATAAGCTGGTCGGCACAAGGTGTGGAAGCTGACGTTAAGGCGTTTAGCCTATTGCTAGTACCAGTTTTGCGAGCCTATACTGTACAACGTAGCATCGTCATTCCATGTCGCTTCACACAGAAAGTAGATATTGTGCGATATTTAGCTCAAAATTTGTTCACATCGTCCGCTATACTGAAGCGGCTACCCATTCCAGAGATGTCCAAAGCCCTATTGATACGACGAAGAGACGCCGAAGCTGACATTCTAGGCAATGTTTTCAGTGCATATGATTCGAAGACATTAATTCGAGTAATTGTAAGTAATGCGTGTATCAAAACATATTTTGGTTCAAGTGCATATACTCTTCGACAGGCCGTGGAACAGGAGCAGAGATAAATTGTTATGCTGGAAACCGCTTATGAACCATTACAGGATGATGAAAATCGAAAGGATAGAAAACTGATGTATGTTAGGTCGGATGTTGCAAGAGTATACAGACATGATAAGATGAGAGTGGTTTGTGTACTGGTTATAGATAAGGATCAAAATGCTACTAATGTCTGGTATGTGGAATCCATAGAGGAGTGCAACTGTATGCTGCCGCTCTCAGACAAGAAGACTGTAACCACCGATGAAGGAGAAGGTGAGAGAAAGGTTCTCAAAAAAATAATTACGACACAGCCATACTAATTGTGTTCACATCCGTGCCTGCCTGGAACGTGTACGGGAATTAGGGGATCCCGGATCCACCGACGCGGCATGTAGCTGGAATAAGCGCCCCGCTGTACGAAAGATGGACCTCAATCAACATACGATTGTGGTGGCCAAAGAATTCGTCAACAAAAGTCGAAACTTCGCGTGGACTGTTACACGATCGAAGTTTATGCCGTTGAAGTGCTCTCATTTGGCATTGTGAAGAAGGATATGAGTAGTGAAGAGCGAGAAATGTACGAAGCATTCCGCGCGGCAAAACTCAGTACTTACAAAGAAGAGAAACAAAAACTTGGACTAAAAATGGATCAAGTACTTTGGCAACCAACAGAAAAACTGTATTTATAATTAAGTATTTAAATATATCTCATCCGGGGCGTTCCGCTCGTAACTCTACGGCATCACCAATAACAAATCCCCACTCGAGATTGTAAATGTAATGCAGATTGCGTTCGTTCGGGCGTAAATTCTGCGGATTGTTCCACAGTTGGAAAAGGTTGTCTATCCTGAAATATACTATATATAGCTTTACAAAACGTTTTATATATACGCTTGACTACATCATTTGTAACACCAAAGTACACTCCTAAAGCGCTGAGATTGTTGCACGATTTTCTGAATGCTGATATGTACATAATATACATATGCCATGTGGATAGTGCACCTTTGCGACCTCTCGGATCTTGAAAGCGGTCACTACTTCTTCTGCCAATCTACCTTTGGCACTGTTATCTTCATCTTCTAGTTCTTCTTCTAGTAATTTAACGCGACATGATCAAAATACTATTTCATCCAACCTATTATTGTAGTTGAACAAATCAAACCGCAACTTCAAAACGGTGAGGTTAGGCTCACCTGTCTGCTTTAGACAAAATGATGGCTTAGCAAGTGCTGCTAACATGTGGATATGTACGTGGAGTGGGTTCCTTACTGCCTGTATCATGTACTGAATTATCATCGCCTTCTATAACTAAAGTAAATGGACGAAGCCGAGGATACGCATCAGTACGTATGCGATCTTTGATCTTTGCTCTAGAACTAAATTGTTCGTACAAGCAGTCGGACTGTGCACTAATCTATTGATATAGACTATAGCCTTTTTTTCACTTGGGGTGGCAGAAACACAACAACTCGTTCACTAATATCACTTCCACAAACTTCCTCATTGTTACTGCATATACACTTTACCATTTTTTTCTTCATATTTTTTATTTGTCACTGATTGCAATTGGAAATCGTACTGCCACTGTAATTGTGGACATGGTAGTGCGTGTTGTGGATACATGTTAACATGTAATTGATTTCCGCCACATGTGAAATGCAATGCATGTAACGGAAAATGTTTCGCGTTCACCGTTGCGTTGTTTTTTTTTCCTGCTGCACCTTTGTTCCTCAATAACTGATCTACAACGGCATTGCTTACGCCTGGTACAAGTATCTTTAGCCAGTTACTTGTTCTTCTTGTTTCTGAATCTACATTGTGATCTGATGCACGCCCCTTAGGCAAAAATATCTTTCTGCTTGTTTCGCCCATACAGTCGGCCACACCGCACATGCACTTACGCGTATAATCAACCTTCTTGACTTTTGGCCCCGCCCGACTACGCCTCACTCTATCTGACATTGTACAATCGCCCCGTTGTATGAGTGAACAAGTGGTCAAATTACACTATAAATTCACATGTATGTATTTAAAAACCAAATTTACAGCCAAGAAATCGGCCGATAAGAAACAAATGCGTTCAAATTGCGGTTCGGTACTTTATAGTTTTGAGTCACCTGTGTACTAATTGCTATATACGGTGAGCTAATATTGTCCTCGATGTGTTTTTTTTTAGAAAGTATGGTTTTTATTATTAAAATAAAAATAGACTAACAGACGTGAGTGTTCTGTGCTCAGGATACGTTTGCTACAAAGTCAAGGAAAAGTTTGGAGTAAGCTCCATTACTCAAACTGAAAAACCTTCTTTATAATTTGCTTGGTAATCTAGATGTTAACCTTAGAACACATGCTTTCTTACATCAACTTTCAATCCTATTTATACACTTTCTACCTTTTCCCAATCCTCGGAATTATTGACTTGCTTCTTCTTCAACGAGAATTATACTCAATCAAAACCCATATAATTCCCTGGCTAATAGTATTTACTGCATCCTCTACAACGGTCTCCACCAGTAGAAATAGTAGTTCATTTCTCACCAATAAACGACTCTCATTTGTGAACCAGCTACTCCTGGAGTACTGAACTCACTCAGTGGCTGTCATGGTTGAGAACGCCTTTCTGACACATTCGTCATCCCTTTTAAACAGCTGCCATTCGGTTTATTGCTCCTCCGAAAAACCATGGGTTTAAAACCTGTCTGACGTCATGTATATAACTTGAGGGTTTTTTGTTTCTTGTTTTTTTACTAAAAAAACATTTTTAGTTCTAAATTATACAACAAGAAGAGGGAGGGCCATGTTTATTTTTAGTTTCCAATAATATTTAGTTTCCAATTTATTTCCGTAGACTGAAAAAATAAAATTATATATAATACACGCGTTAAAACGTTCAACAAAAATTATTTAAAACTTTTATCAATGGTCTATGACAATACATGCTCTCTGGAAAAAGCCAGCAGATATATGTAAATAAGGTTTTGTTTTTCCACAACAAGAGGAATACATAGCCTTCTTCTGAAATATACAGAAGGCTATGAGGAATATTTGAAAACAAATGAAATGGTGAGCAAAGATATTAATTGCGTTAAAACGTATTGTACCATTGAGTTTTAGCACAGATCTATTTAGTTGCCTGGGGTTGGCTGCGGGATTGGAGTTCGGACGATATATCTATTCCATTGCTGGTTTTACAAAAACAGATAGATTGAAAAAAACGAACACGTATTGTTTCTGGGTGCATAGTAAATAGTAGTGGCGTAGGAACGTTTTTTCAAATTCTGAGAAAACGTAATCAACTTCCAGATCTTATCACTACCAAATCAGGTTCGCACCCGACAAACTATCCCAATCAAATCATTTCTTCTCAGCACACTCTATTAATCTCCAGAGACTCCAATGTGAGCTTGATACTCATCCAACATTCACGTCTGTGCGCCGCAACCGGGAGATGGTTTGCTAAAAACAAATTTGAAGAAATATCAAGATGATAGGCTGTATAGGTTTCGAACTGTTGGGAGGTGAAAGTTACCAGGTAGAGAATATATACTGGCGAACCTATTTATATATAAAAACTTTTCATCCACTTGTCCGAGTCTCCGAGACTGATAGATTCCGTATTAGCATCTCGTGGGTAGTATCGCCATTGCTGAAACTAACACTCGAACCACAGGGAAGGAGTCAGGATGATCGATAACAAGTATTTTTAGACTTCTCCCTTAAAAAAAATTAGAGTTGGTCTGTTCGAAATAATATCTATTTGTGTACAGCGGAGAGAAGACACCTCAAGCATTCTAAAGTAGTAGACCTAGTAGAAAATACATTCACTATAGTTTCTACCCCATTTTATGAAATTCGGCGATAATATCGAACAGTATTTCATACAACACTACTTAGACTAAAACAACACAGTCAGCGGAGAATCAGTAGAAAAATGGCGGCTATCTTCGAAGCCTCGGGCAAGATCAAATCCGATGGTCCCATTAGACAATGGAAAAAGTATCACTTCTGTTTATACGAAAACTACATAATCTCAAAGGAAAAAGAGGTATGCAGGAGAGAGAAGAAAACGGACATATAGTTTAATGACACAACTCAATAAGAAGATGTGATAATTTTGTTAGTTCAACTATCTTATTTATATACTTATTAATATATATA